CCTTCGGAGTTGTTCGCCGTCCTGAGTCCCTCCCGGAGAAGGGTGGCATACAAATAAACTAAACCTGAACCTGAACCTGTACCTTTTGAGCGAAATATAGCATTATCTGTTCTAAGAAGAGCCAGTAGCCAGGATTCACATCAAATCTTTTTGGTTGACTGATTAGCCAAGAATTAGGCTCTCTCTGTCTTAATCAAATGTTCCAAAGCAGCTTAGGAAGCTGTTTTGCCCCTTGTGTGGCCAGATTCTGCAATTGCAAGAACAGTGGCCTGGATGAAAGTGGCTAAGACCCTGAGCTTGTCGATCAGAAAGGTCGGCGGTTCGAATCCCTAGCGCCACGTAATGGAGTGAGCTCCGTTAGACCACAATGAGGCTTGCAAGATTCTGTTGTTATGGCCAATCTCAGTCGAGGAGTTTTAACTCCACAAAATGTATTACAAAGTTATATAAAGCCTTAGTAAGGCCAGACTTAGAATACTGCATCCAGTTTTGGTCACCCTATTATGAAAAAAGATATTGAGACTCTGGAAAGATTGCAGAGAAGAGCAACAGAGGAGGTTAGAGGCCAAAACATATGAAGAACAGTTGCAGGAACTGGGTATGTCTAGTTTAATGAAAAGAAGGACTAGGGGAGACGCGATAGCAGTCTTCCAATATCTCAGGGGCTGCCCCAAAGAAGAGGGAGTCAAGCTATTCTCCAAGGCATTTGAAGGCAGGACAAGGAGCAACGGATGGAAACTAATCAAGGAGAGAAACAACTCAGAACTAAGGAGAAATTTCCTGACAATGAGGACAATCAACCAGTGGAACAGCTTGCCACCAGAAGTTGTGAATGCTCCATCAGTGGAGACTTTTAAGAGGAGATTGGACAGCCACGTGACTGGAATGGTGAACCTTTTTGGCACCAAGTGCTGAAACGGGAGCATGTGCACGAATGCCCAAACCGGGAAGATGATCTTCTGGTTTCTGGCCCACGCATGTGCACCGGCCACCTGGTCTTCCAGTTTTTGTTACCCATGCGTGCACGAAGACCAACTAGCCGGTGCGCATGTGAGCACTGGAAACTGGAAGATCATCTTCCCACCCCGCGCATGCACACTAGGTGCCTGCTCTTCCGGTTTCTGGTGCTCCCGTGAGTGTGAAGACCAGGTACCTGGAAGAGCAACAGGCGATGGTTGGCTTGTCTGGAGGGATGGCTCTGCGTGCCGCTTCCGGTATGCGCGCCATAGGTTCGCCATCATGGGTTTAGGGTCTCCTGCTTGAGCAGGGGGTTGACTAGATGACCTCCAAGGTCCCTTCCATCTCTGACGTTCTGTTAATTGTCTGGTGGAGTTGACTTCCTTTTCGGGGGGGGGGCTGACAGCAACCCCATTTCCAGGTTAACCTAAGCAAGACTGAGAGTGCTGTTTTCTCCCCCTTCTTCGCCGCAGCTGATGGATGCTGTGATGTTGCACCTGACACGAGCTCGGAATCGTCTCACCACGCCTGCCACCCTGAGCTTGCCAGAGATCGCCAGCAGTGGACTTACGGTAACATTGGAGGCAGGGGAAGCTTTAGCACAGGGGTGTCAAACTCGATTTCATTGAGGGCTGCATTAGGGTTGTGTATATGACCTCAGGGATGCCCTGAGGTCATATACACAACCCTCAGGGATGCCCTGAGGTCATATACACATGGTGGGCGTGTCCAGCTTGACGTCACTGATGCCAGGGACATGTGGTAAGGCAGAACTTCTCTCAGACCCTCCCTCCCTCGCATTATAATCTCCCTCCCTCCCTCGCCTTCCTTTTCATCAGCTTTCCTTCATCTTCCTTACTTCCTCCCTCCTTCCCACCCTTGTCTTCCTTCTTTCATCAGCTTTCCTTCATCTTCCTTACTTCCTCCCTCTCTTCCTTCCATCAGCTTTCCTTCATCCTCCTCCCTCCCTTGTCTTCCTTTTTTCATCAGCTTTCCTTCATCTTCCTTTCTTTCCTTCCTTCCTTCCTCCCTCCCTCCCTCTTTCCATTTCCTTCCCTCTTCATTCTCTTTCCTTCCCTCCCCTCTTTCCTTATTTTCCCTTCCTGGCTCTCTTCCCATCTTTTACTTTCCTATTTCCCTTTATCCTTTCTTGCTCCTTCTTCCACTGCTCAAATGCAAAAGGGAAAACATTTCTCCGTTTGTTTTCTTTTGAATGTACCTTATTTTTCTCAGTATAAGTCACTGAGGCTGAAAATTTGGGTGCGTCTTATACTCCCAATGTAGCTTTTTCGAAGCTTTTTTTGCAGCCCTAATGAGGTGCTAATGAATGAAGCGATCTTCTTCCGTGCTTTGCCTGCTTTTCTCATGGCTGCTCCTTCCAACGATCAGCTGTTTTAGAAGCTGTTTTTTTATCCCCAACCAGGGGATAAAAAGCGTGCGCTCTCAAAACCAGCAAACTTATGTGCTGAAGCTGACCAGGCTAAGGACGCTAGCCAGATGAACACCTGGTAGGCAGAATTTTTTCCCCCTTGTTTTCCTCCCCAAAAACTAAGGTGTGTCTTATACTCCGCTGTGTCTTATACTCTGAAAAATACGGTAGTTTGCTTTGCTAGCCCTCTGCCAGCAGATACGGAGCCAGGGAGGAGACTGTGGTGGGTTCCGGATCCCGTTGCAACCGGTACGGTGCAACGAGGGCCAGCGTCTCAAACATGCATGCGCGCAGCGCACACATGCGTCCTTACCTCCGCGACGCCTCCGTGACCCTCCAGCTGCTTGGCAGAGTGTCGCACAGGCGCCATATGCTCCGTGTGTGTGCGCAGAAGCGCTGAAGAGCTCAAATACAGGTAAGGAGCTTGGGCTGGCCCTCTGAAGCACTGTACCGGAACGGTACCCGGTGCTCCCGGCAGGCACCGGTATGGGCCAGATCTAAGCACCCCTGCGGGCCGGATCTGGTCCCCCTGGCCTTGAGTTTGACACCCCTGCTTTGGAGGGTGAGAAAATAGATAATTCAGAATGCTGGCTGTTAATTAAGTACGCTAATATGCTGGGTTTCTAACTCTTTCTTCCTCTCCAGAAAATGTTCACTCCATCGCTGCCTTCAGACCTCCTGGTGAATTTCTATATCAACCTAAATAAGGTCTGCTTAACGGTCTACCAGTTACATCCTTTGCAGCCCAGTTCCACAAAGGTATGGAAGGAAGCAGCAGCAGGGAAAAACCCAGATTGCCTCCTAGACCAGTGGTTCCCAAACTTGGCAACTTTAAGACTTGTGGACTTCAACTCCCAGAATTCTCCAGCCCTGGGGAATTCTGGGAGTTGAAGTCCACAAGTCTTAAAGTTGCCAAGTTTGGGAACCACTGTTCTAGACACTTGGCTATCGAAGGTAGTCCTCCGCTTAACAACCATTCAAAGTTTACAGCGGCCCTGGGAAAACGTGGATCGTTTTTTTCCACACTTACGACCATGGTCATGTGGTCAACATTGGGATGCTCGGCAACGGATTCAGATTTATGACAGGTGCAGCATCTCCGGGATTGTGTGATTTCCCCCGTTTGCCACTTTCTGACAAGCGGGGTCAATGGGGAAAGTCGGTTTCACTTAACGGCTGCGGCAGGAAAGGTCGTTGAAATGGGGCAAGACTCCCTTAACCGCCGCCTCGCTTAGCGACAAGAAATTTTGGGCTCAGTTGTGGTCGTAAGTGGAGGGCTGAGTGTGTTGTCTCTTCATAGCAGCTCTCTTTTGTCGTCACTAAAGAGATCCATTGGAGTGCCTTTTTTTTTAGAATGACTGTTCTTTCCTTTCCTTCCCTTCATTGCTTCTTCCTTCCCTTCCTTTCTTCTTTTCCTTTCCTTCCCTTCCTCTCATGTCTTTTTCCTTCCCTTCATCTCTTCTTTCCCTTCCGTTCATCTCTTTTTCTTTCCCTTCCCTTCTTCTTTTGCTTCCCTTCCCTTCCTCTCACCTCTTCTTCCTTCCCTTCATTCTTCTTTCCCTTCCGTTCATCTCTTCTTTCCCTTCTTCTTTTGCTTCCCTTCCCTTCATCACTTCTTCTTTTCCTTCCCTTCCTTTCATCTCTTTTTCTTTTCTTTTCCTCTCCTCTTCTCTCCCCTTCCGTCTCTCCTTTTCTCTTCTCTCCCCTCCCCTCCCTTCTTCTCTTCTCTTCCTCCAGTGATGGAGCACCCACAACTTCTGGAGACCAGCTGTTTCTCCTTAGTTCTAAGTTGCTTCTCTGTTTTGATTAGTTTCCCCCCATTGCTTCTTGTCCTACTCTCTGGTGCTTTGGAGCATAAGTTGATTGCCTCAACTTATGGACTTGTGAGTCCTCCGTTGCTGGAGGTTTTCAAAAATAGACTGGACAACTGTTTGACTGGGATGGTACAAGGTCTCCTGCTTAGGGGGTGGGTGGAGCTGGACTAGAAGACCTCCAAGGTCCCTTCTAGCCCTATGATTCTATACTCTAACATCATACAAGTTGGGATTCCTTTGGCTGTACTTGCTGTAGTAACATAATCTTGCAAATCTGAATGTATTTTCCCCTCCCTGTCTTTATCTTCATGTGAACTAGTGAGAAGTTTATCTGAAATGTTTTCTCAAGATATTTCCTGGGCCCAAGCCCCTCTTATCTAGCCGTTGCCTTGGTAACGGCTTTTCTTCCTGTCCTTCGAGGCCTTTTCCTTCTGCTCTTTACAGAGGGGGCCCATTTTATGACTTTTCAACGATGTTAACTTTGGTCAAAAAAGTAACCTGTTTTTAAAATAACCTTTCCAGCAGCAGTTACACAATTTTTTTAATATGTCCCTTATCGACTTTAGAGCGATGCAGTGGCTCAGTGGCTAAGACGCTGAGCTTGTCGATCAAAAAAGCTGGCAGGTCTGCGGTTCAAATCCCCAGCGCCACGTAACGGAGTGAGCTCCCATTACTTGTTCCAGCTTCTGCCAATGTAGCTAAAATTCCAAGTGGAAAAATAGGGACCACCTTTGGTGGGAAGGAAACAGTGTTCCGTGCGCCTTTGGCATTTAGTCATGCCGGCCACATGACCTCGGAGACGTCTTCGGACAGCGCTGGCTCTTCGGCTTTGAAACGGAGATGAGTACCGCCCCCTAGAGTCGGGAATGACTAGCACATATGTGCGAGGGGAATCTTTACCTTTTTACACTCTGTCCTACTCTCTGAAAAACAGGGGTCGAAGGCCTTAACGTTTCTTTTTTCCCATCCGCCGAATGTCCCAAAGTCGCTTTTCCAAAAGGCAGCTGGACTATCTTGGTTGGGGTTTTTTTCCCCTTGAAAGCATTTTGCTTATCTTCTTCTGTTCTGAAGCTCTTTCTTCTACTTCCTGTTGCTAAAATGAGAAGAGGGATGGTGTGGGGGCTGCCTCCCAGCAGAATGCCTCCCATTCTGCCTCTCGGTGAGAGTCGGAGCGATGTAGCAGTGAACGTTTTGGTCTGGCACAGAGAAAGTCCTTGTTCTAATCCCTTGAAATGGCAGACGAGAACAACCTCGAGGGAATGGCAGGAATCAGATGCTGCCTAGGGAACAGTCAGATAAGAAGAGGCCTATCCCTCAGCTGCAAAACAGGAAGAGAAAGATACTCAAAAACAGAGACACTTCTCCAAATTAGGTAAAGGTTCCCCTTACACATATGCACTAGTCGTTCCCGACTCTAGGGGACGGTGCTCATCTCTGTTTCAAAGCTGAAGAGCCAGCTCTGTCCGAAGAGTCATTTTTTATTTTTTTAGTCATTTATTTGACATTTATAGGCCGCCCTTTTCCCTGAGGGGACTCAGGGCGGCTTACAATTAATGGGAAGGGAGTGCAAGACGAAACACGAGAAAAAAAAAGGTGAATAAAAAATAAACCAGTAAAACACAACATTCATTCAGCATTCGGGTGGGGCGAGGTTAGAGTCTATCCCCAGGCCTGACGGGATAGCCAGATCTTGAGGGCTGGACGGTGGTGAGGGTGCGAATCTCCACGGGAAGATTGTTCCAGAGCGTCGGAGCTGCAACTGAGTGGTTTGACCTTATCCTCTCGTGATTGGTTTGAGTCAGATAAGCTC